TGCCTGCTCAGGTCTGGCGTCATACTCCAAGCGGAGCATAAGGAGACGGTCAAGGAGTATGATGCTTGGCTGGAGAAGTTGGTCCCTAAACCCTAAACCCTAACCTTATTCAGGTTTAGGGCTTAGGGCCCCCTAAACCCTAAACCGGCTCAGGGTTTCTAGAAATTAAATACAGGATGGTTAGGGTTTATAGGGTTTTTCCTTGGCTGACATTCCGAGCCCAGCAGTAATGGAAATCTTCACACTTGGGTAGCAGACTCCCATTTACATGCGGCCTTTCTTTGCTCCAAGATTTGAGCTTGCTTTCTTAGTGCTCGTCTGCGTTTCCGATTTGGGCTTCGGAGTTGCAAATCTGTTCGGCCAGCCGGTGCGTTTTTCCCGAGCTTACAGTTCACAACATGCCGAAACCCTGCTGCCTTAGAGGACCCACTGCCACTACCAACGCAATTGACTTGCAAGGGGCTTTTGAAAGGTGGGCCAGGAGGTTCATGGAATCCACGCTCACTGCCTGCATGTCCCCGAGTCCCAGATCGCGCGCTGCACCGGTAAGGAACCGACATGACGCCTAATCAAACAGCCTACAGATATTGCACGCAAGACGTGCATCTCAGCAGGAGCTATGAGAGCTTCCGCACATGAGAGCCACTCACAGAGGGATGCTCCCTTTGACCAGCTCAGGGGTCGCTCTTCCAGGAACTCCCAGAAGTTCAACCTGAACGCTCTGGACCCGTGCCGACCATGGCCCAATCCCAAACCTCCAGGGTATTCCGAAAATCATCAACCATAGCAATGCGGATATCGTGCCATGCATTAATTGGGGTTTAGGGTTTAGGGTTTAGGGATCACAGCCTGACCACTGAGCAGTATCATGTCTTGGGATTCCTGACCTCCTCAACCCTCAAGCCATGGCCGCTAAAGACAACCTTGAAAACGTATACAAGGCCCAAAACTGAACGCGCCCGTTACAAGTCATAATAGGCATGAATATCAAGAATCAAGAGTCATGATCATAATGAGCTCATGTCAATATGATGGTAACAATCGCCATCGCCCCCAACCCATAGACCCTCAACCCTGAACCCCAGAAACCCTACAAGCCCTGAGTAGAGAAAACCCTAATGTAGGGGCCTTAATGATGAGAATAGGGTTTTGGAGGCTCCTTGTTTTAATTACAGGACACGATACCCCCAAACCCTCTTCGAATTATTAAGGCTCCTATATTAAACCCTAAAACCTCCGCAAGCCAACATCTGAGGATATGGAAAGTGACTCCTGGACTGCTACGGACACCATCCTGGGCGAGAACCAGCTGGTGGTGAAGACTCTAGGCTCCTCCGGGGGCCTGAGGCTTTGGGGCTCAGGGTTTCGGGTTTGGGGCTGAGGGTCTTCTATGAGGTTTAGAGTTCAGCATTTGAAATTTTTGTTTCGGGCTCAGAAATTGGCGCTTCGAGGGTCTGTGGCTAAAGGGTTCAGCCGCTTCTGTCATGGTTGTGCAAGGATCGTCTGGGGCGTTTAGGGTTCGGGGTTTAGGATTTAGGAGTTTAGGCTTTTGATCGAGGCTTCGGGTCTTGGGGGCTTGCACAGGGTTCATTTCATGGAAGCCGTAGTTTCATTAGTATAAGGGTCGAGAGAATTACCAATACTATTTTGGGGGTTCCTTATTATAATTATGGTATAGTGGGCCCCAAAACCCTATTCGAATCATTAAGGCCCCTATATTGCCTGTGTTGCATGACGATAGTTCCAAATGTCGGAGACGTGACGACAAGCATAGACGTCCAGAGCCCGAAAGCTCCACTAACTCCACTACCTGTACAAAGCTCCGCAGGCTTAATGTAGGAACCTCATGAAGAAACCTGGCCCCAAAATATAGGGACCTTAATGTTTGAAACAGGGCTTTGTGTCTATTATACTATATTTATAATAAGGAACCCCAAAATGATAGTGGTAAGTATTTCGGCCCCTATATCAACCCTCATATAATCATGAACCCTAGCAAAGCCCAAAGGATTCACACGTGTCTATATTATATGGGTAGTTGTCAAAATTATGGTCCCTTTTGGGGTACCCTGAATAGTAGATGCCGTATTATAATAAGGACCCAAAAAGGGGCCATAATTTTGACAACCACCCATATGTTGGCCGTCAGTACAGTAGATCATGGCCACCTCGAACATCATCCCTAGGACGACGACGGCCATGAGCAGTGTTGCTGCTCCTGCTCCTCCTCCCCTCACCTCCGACTGAGCTACTGCTGTTTCTGCCGCAAGCCTGCGTCTTTCCATTCGGATTCTCCTGTCAGGTAGTGCCATCAGTGCTGTATACGGTAGGAATTTCATCATGATCCCTGCTTGCAAATGTTTTATTGTCAGCGGTGCGGTGTCCGGCAGAGTGCACCGTGACCAGCTGAGCAGATGCTACCCCTGCACCGGAATGTAGGGGCCTAGATTGTCTAAGTACTTCCCGTAGGATTTGAAGATTATTCTACTACAACTACATTACGGAACGCGAACGGGGGCCGTGTATTCAACCCAAACTAGCTGGAGCACTGCTGCACCTAAGCCCCCGAAACCATAGCACACTCTCAATGTCGAAGTCGTAAAGGGCTTAAACTGGGAATCGTAAAGGTGGTACTAGCACTCACTTCGCAAACTGCTTACATTGAGCCCAAACTCACATACCCTCCTGGGTAAGCCTGTGTATGCCAAGTCCTCAAGCCTAAACAAAGCACCTCCAACAACAACGAATCCAGAAAAGTGCCCGAATCAGAAGCTATTGTTAGCTTATGTAGACCGAAGCTCTACACTCCAAACTTGAGAAAAAGCAGGTGACGGCCTGCTTACGCTCCGACTATCGGCGGCTGGAGGCTTCAAGTGGGAGCACGTGGGCTCCTACCGGCAACTTGGACCTCCCAGAGAGCTCCAAGAATTGCGGCCGAATATAAGGGCCTTCATAATTACTTATACTTTTTTTTTTGGGGGGGGTCCTTATAATGTTTATAGTAGAATATACCCCAAAACCATATTCCAATTATTAAGGCCCCTATGTTAAGTCGAGGGATTCGACTGTAGGGTTAAGGGTTTTTGGGTTTTCGGGTGTTGGGGTTTGTGGTCTTGGTCGTGGGGGTTTTGGGGGTTTGGCGGTGTCTGATCCTTTCGGGTTTCCAAGCTTTTGTGATCAAGGTGCAGGGTTCTAATTATGGTCCCTTTTTGGGTCCTTATTATAATACGGCACCCATTATTTATGGTACCCCAAAAGGGCCATAATTTTGACAACCACCCATGAGGTTCGCCTCATTTAGGGGGGGTTCTTGATGAGCAGGCTCCTACTTTTGAAGGTGGATGTATTGGGAAGCGTGCAGTTCGAGTTCCCTTTCCAAGTCACACACACACACACCCTAACCCTAAACTCTGACCCTCAACCCCAAACCGTGCGGAGCGAGTTGATCTGGGATAGGTCCTGACCCTGAAGCCTAAAACTCTACCCTACACTCGGGACCCGGAGCGATCCCCGGCGTCTGGATACAAAGGGCTGCTTGGAAAGGTGGTCTTAGTGCTTTCCCTTGTCCAACGGTGGCCCCAATTCATATGGGTAGTTGTCAAAATTATGGTTATTTTGGGGGTACCCTAAATAATAGGTGCCGTATTATAATAAGGACCCAAAAAGGGACCATAATTTTGACAACCACCCATATGCACAATCGTTAGCTTTTCATCGAAAGCTGCCTCGCAATGGCAAGCCGAGGCTGGGCGGGAAGAGCAAGGCCAAGCTGCTTCTGAATCTCACTACTAGCGCCGCAGGAATAAAACTTAGGCGGGGGTGATACTATAAAGTGTAGTTATACCAAGGAGCCCTAAGGAATCGCATTCCGCTCATTACTTCGGCCACCCTCTTGCGCAGCTGCCAAAGAGTCTGAGTGTTTTCTTATGGGGGGGGGAGTCGGGGTAGTGGGGCCTTGTGGGGCTCCGAAGAGAACGAGTAGAGTTTGGGGTTTAGGGTTCCGGTTTAGGGTTAAGTGTTCAGGGTTCGGGTTTAGCCTCAAGGGGAGGTGAGGGTTGCATAGGCGCTGGCCGGCACCTCTGTCCGTGCTTTAGGGTTTAGGGATGTGCACAGGCTGAGTTCAGCCGCTGTGTTGCTAAACTGCTAAGCCCCAGATTCCGAGACTGCGTGCAGGACGGGCAGTCCCTGTTGAAGGTGGTGGACTCGAGCACCAAGGCCTGCTAGATGGGACCCTCGTGTCCACGGATCCACCTGACTAGCCACAAAAACCTAAACTCAGAGACTCTTTGTGTATTCCCAGAGTAAGTAATGTAGGGGCCTTAATAATTACCCATACTATTTAAGGGGTTTCCTTATTGTGTTTTTATAGCATAATGGGCCCCGAAACCCCAATTCTAATTATCAAGGCCCCCATATTACAGTAGCTAAGATTATGATCTTTATGTAATGTCAAGTTATACCGGAAATTCTTCAGAAAGGGGTCCCTCTCTCTGGCATACTGGACTCCGTGTTGGATGCCGGTGCAGTCGGGCTTGGGGGCGGCTTCTCTGTAACGTTTAGGGTTTGGAGTTTAGGGTTTAGGGGTTTAGGGTTTAGTTTCAGGGTTTGGGGTTTAGGGTTTAGTTTCAGGGTTTGAGGTTTAGGGTTTTACGGTTTAGGGTTTAGGGTTCTCTGTAGCAGCCACAGTAGCCAGGGCTCCCTTCTTGCAATGGCCTCGTCAGAGGCGGCCGACTTGAAGGAACCCTGGCCTTCCTCGAAAGGTGTTTTAAAATCTGTAGTATTGGTATGTTTTCAATCATGATTCAGCTTTAGTATGGAATAGCCATGTCTGTTCAACTGTAGTAACTTTCAGTGTGGTACATCCTTACCTTAAGCCACCAAAACCTACTTTTTGTAGGCTAGGGTCCCTATAAATTCTACATTAAAGTTTATAATAAGGACCTACAAAACAGTAGGTTATGGTAGTTCAAGGTAAGTGTATCTGGGCAAAAACAGCCCAGGAACCTCGAGGCTGGTCTCTAAAGCATGGCCACCGGAGCCCTGGCCAATGTTGAGGATCCCCGTTTAGGGTTTAGGGTTTAGGGTTTTAGGGTTTTAGGGTTTAAGGGTTTAGGGTTTAGGGTTTTGGTGGTTTGGGTTTCTTAAGTTTAAGATTTCGAGAATGGAGCCCAGAAACGAATACACACCTCTTACAGAACCTTTGGTGGAACTTGTCTAGAACCCTCGAAAGATCCCTTGAAGAGGCCCTAAACCCTAAACTCCTACACCCTAGACCATGAAACCCTTTCTACAGGGGCCTCAATAATTACCTATATTATTTTGGGGGTTCCCTACTATATTTCTACTAAAAAAAGGACCCCCCAAACCCTATTTTAATTATTAAGGACCCTGAATTAACCTTAAAGGAAGCCCTTAAACCCTCAACCCTAAACCTTGAATTAACCTTAAAGCAAGCCCCCAGGGATCCCCTGGCATGGACTAAGGAAGCGGCTGGTTCTGCAGGCGGAGGGCGCGAACGAGACTTCCGACGAGAAGGCTCCTGGGGAAGAAGTTTTCTACTTTAGGGTTTAAGGATTTAGGGTACCCGGCAGTTGCAACAGGCCTGGATGCACAAGGGTTTTTTGGTAACGGTACACCCTAAACCCGAAAACCCTACTGTAAACTAAACTCACGGTTCTAAACCCCTTCAGTAAGGGCCCGGGCCGTTCTACCGTGAAGCGCAGCCTTCACAACGGGAGCCGACGGCGCTATCTGGACCCCACTTTCTATGGGAAGTACGGGAACGATACTAGGTGGTCATTGAGGAGCTGAAGTCTCTGGGGGTGCTTAGGGTCTTGTTTTGGCTTGACCCCAACGGAAATGTCTACCAGATGGTATAATTTCTTCACTAAGAGCGGTTTCTATACAAGAGCCCAGGATTACAAGGTCCAGACGCGGCGCAACCTACTCCGGCGGGAGGTGGTCGCCAGTCTCCTGGACCTGGAAGAGATGACGGAAGAGTGGGCATGGCAGGCGGAGGAAGAGGCGGAATGGGAAGAGGAAGACTGGTTCGAGGAGCTTGATTCCTTTTCGGACATCAGCTTCAGCAGCTGCCGTACACCATCCACGACGGCTTCAAGTTGCGACGGTCCTTGCAAGCCTGAGCATTCCAAAGCTTCGAAGCGCTGGGATGAAGCCATTGGGCGGGCCAACGTCATGGCCAAGCTGTACACGAAGTCTACACGTTCTGGTGCGAAGGCCGAGCCCAAATCTAAGGAGAAGAAGGTCCCGGACAAGCTTAGCATGCTAGCAGGGAGTCTTCGAAACAAGCACAACGTGAAGCTGCTGGAGCAAAGCCTGCTTGACGGCGGACAGGATTCTCTTCGCAGCTTCCAGCTGGAGTTTCTGGAGCAGTTCTCGCCAGCCATTTGCTCTGGACTGCGCGGTATCTTTCGGAACGAGATCATGTTGCGAGCCACCCCTACGAACAAGTGTGTTTACGATCGGTTCAAGTTGCAGATTAAGAAAAAGGGCAACCTCTGTCCCGTTTTCCATGGCACGGACGAGGCAAACCTTCCATCGATTTATGCAAAGGGGCTGCTCGTTCCCGGGGGTGAGCAGGGCGTCCGTGTCGCTCATGGGGCATCCCATGGCAACGGCATTTACACTGCGAAGACGCAGAATCCTGGGTTGTCCTTCGGATTCTGCCGAGGAACCAGGAGGCCGCTCCTGGTGTGTGGGGTGTTGGACGATGCCGTTCCGCTTGCCAGGAAATACCAACTCGGAAACTCGGTTCCCCAGTAGTACTCTTTTGCCCTGTTTCTTTCGGGTTCTCTTACTGTATTAAAAACCCAAATGGTAGGGAAAAGGGTACCCTGATCATTTAAGGGGCTACCGGGGAACCAAGGAAACCACTATGTCACGGCAGAGTCGCAGAATGCTCGTCACGTGGGGGATGCCATCGTGGTCTTCGATGCAAGTCGGGTCATTCCCCTCTTTGAGGCCTGGGACCCAATGGACCCAGGGCTCCACGTCCCAGCGGCCGCAGTACGGGCCCCGGCCCTGCCACCGCCAGCGGTGCAGCCGCAGCTTCCGACATCGCTTCCTCCGGCGAAGGTGGGAGAAAGGACCCCCTATCTCATGGACCCTGCACTATAATCGGATCGTTCGTATAAGGACTCCTTAATCATGTACCCTTGAAGGTCTACAAGGGTGGCCCAAAGACCCGGCTTCGGTCAAAGCCAGAGACGCGGGAGGAAAGAGTCAGGGCCTTTCTTCACCGCCGTGCTTCACGCATCCGCTCAGGGTGATGCTTTTCCACCGGTTCAGGTTTTCATTGTACCCAGGAGAATGCTTAGCTTCCGCTGCCTCAGGAGTTTTAGTTGTTTCCTTATTGGTCTGCTGCCAAGTTGCAGCATGAAGTATGGGTGTACAGATAGCTTGCCGTGTCACAGTCGTGACTCGTGCTTTCCAGATTCGTATGTACTTCTTCACTCCTTACATGATTCCACCAACGAACATGTGACCAACATGTACAGTGTACAGGACTTATGGCAAGGCAGAAAAAGACAAATATCGTTTGTATGCCCTTACTCTCTGACTCACTTGCTTATGCTCATTCCTTTCTCATTTACTTCGTCATACTGACCTACTCAATGCTTGCTCACTAAGATTCATACTCGCTTCTGACTTTCGTCATGCTTGTGTACATGTATATTTATATGAAACAACGCAGTTTTGTGTTATTCATACGTGTTCGGCAAGCCAGGGTTGATACAGACATGTGCCGCACCGTGATTGATAGCCGGGTGGCCACCATCACCATCCGCTTTTGTGCAGTGTCATGAAGAGGTCATGAGTGATGTCCAATGCCCTACGACTTACCCCTCCTCTAATATAGGGCGTTCCTGATCTTAGCTTTACCAGCATATACTTCCCAATGACTAAAGCTTCTATATTGGACTCTAGACCCTTATAGCAATTGTAAAAACTGACCCAAGACGGCAAGAGCCTACTCCAGTTTGGCTAGACTCCGGATGCAGCTCTATGAAGCCGCTTCGTTGAAGCCGTAAACCCTAAACCGTTAGCAGTTGGGCCTTGCTGAGCCTGTTTTGTAGGCCCCTGTTCCCTCAACGCCTGCTGCTAGGCGTTTCAAGTCGATGACCTTCGACGTAGCTTCGAGGAGATACGGCACACCAAGTACGGCAAACAGTCGGCATCTTGACAGATGTTTAGGACGTGGATAGATTGTTTTGGTCCACGGGTATGTGGGCGATAGTGTGTGTTTGTATGTGTGTGTGTGTTTGTTTGCTTGCTTGCTTGCTTGCTTGGTTGCTTTTTTTGTGGGAGTGACGGCATGCGTGTGTGTAAGTTCATATCTCATTAAAAAAGTGTACAGTGCAATGAGCTCGAGGTTTCCCGCGAGGAAGAAGCTAAGGCTGTATGTAAGTGTTCTTGTCGGACCGGAGCCTCGCCTGCTTGTCGAGAGTGAGTGCCAAAAGAAGTGCAGTTACATTTACTGTTTACTGGATCCGATCAAGGAAGTCTCTATGGAATGTTGGTTGCGAACTTCGCTATCGGAAAGTGTCCGCAGCGCGCGAGCTTCGAGATGTAAGAACGGCAAGAAGAGCACCGCATTTTGTAAGCATCTACATGCAATCATGTTCTGAACAAGTGCGTCTTCCGAACTGGTTCTTCTCTCTCACGGAGAAGTGGCCTTTTGCAAAGGCGCCAAAGTGAGGCACCAGGCAAACCTCAGCGCAACCGGGCTTCGTGGCTGTAGCCTGTGTGTTGTTTTCAGGTTGTGCCAGAGTCTTAATGGTCATTGTCGAAGGGAGGACTGGGCAGCGAGGAGTTTGATGGGCGAGCGTCTCCGAACTGGCAGTTCTGCCTACTCGCAGAGCTGCTTTTTGCAAAGGCGCAAGAAAGTTCGAGTGGTTCCCGGCACGAGTGGGTTTGTGCGAGGTAGCCCAAGGATCGTTTTCAGCATCCACGTGCAACTATGTGCTGCAAAGCAAATGGCGCTTTTTTTGTCAAGTGCGTCTTCCGAACTGGTTCTTCTCTCTCACGGAGAAGTGGCCTTTTGCAAAGGCGCCAAAGTGAGGCACCAGGCAAACCTCAGCGCAACCGGGCTTCGTGGCTGTAGCCTGTGTGTTGTTTTCAGGTTGTGCCAGAGTCTTACTGGTCATTGTCGAAAGGAGGACTGGGCGGGGCAGCGAGGAGAATTTGACGGGCGAGCGTCTCCGAACTGGCATATCTGCCTTCTCGCAGAGCTGCCTTTTGCAAAGGCGCAAGAAAGTTCGAGTGGTTCCCGGCACGAGTGGGCTTGTGCGAAGTAGCCCAAGGATCGTTTTCAGCATCCACATGCAACTATGTGCTGTATAGCAAATGGCGCTTCTTTTGTCAAGTGCGTCTTCCGAACTGGTTCTTCTCTCTCACGGAGAAGTGGCCTT